TTACAGCACGGGAGACCTCTCACGTGCTAATATCCGGACGATCTTCTACACTTTGCAGACTGTCCTCTACAACCTGTGGATTCCGCATACTTCTGCCACCCTTTATCTTGAATGCCGGTGACAAAGGATCCTGTTTCACTTAGGCAACCGATGCAATCGTTCGAAGAGTTTTCGACCTGGCACCTGTCTTCTCGAAAAACGCAGTCTCTCGGCCTCCAAAGCATTGCCACTTGCAATACCATACATAAAAACGCATCTCCGCCTTTTCCTGATTACTGTACATCGACATGCCTTCTTAAATCCACGCTATAAATAACAATTCGTAAGGAAACTCGCGCTTTACGCTTTCTATTACAGCGCCGGCTCGAGATTCACCGCTTGATCTCCAACAATGCATTGTATGGTGAAAATTGCTTGTTTAGATGCTTTTTATCACCCTTAAAATTTTCCTCATGAGCTTTGAAACATCATATATGCATGCATAATATTATGTTTTTAATCACCCCTTTGTTTGACGAGTTCCATTATAGCGCCTAGCGAGAAAGTTTAAGTTCTTTAAGTAGCAAACGTAAATATACGAGGAATCTTTCGCTCCCAAAAGTATTTTATTTTATTTACTATCATTTTACCCTTAAAAAGCCAAAGCCTTCGATAACCTGTACGCTTAAAATACCGAAACGCCTTTCTCCGTCCATTAACCTTCCCATTCCTTTCCTCGCCTCCCCGTCCATTAACGCACAGAGATATGTGAAGATTTCAAATGACATCATTTCTACTTCCTTACAAAGAAGCTTCTACTAGCCCTTTAGGACAAGCTGTCTGAAATAAACTGATATAAAGCATTTGGGAAAACTGCACCTGCTACTGCATACCTGAAAGTCGTATCATACCTAGCGATGTGTGAGGCTAGGTGGGACATTTCCGAGAAAGGATATTCTAGTACCACTGGCTTAACGGAAGATTTCCAAGAAATGTTCCATCTAGCCGAGGAAGGGATGTCCCGACTATGAGGAACATTTTGAAACTTTTCCGAAAATGTTTCGTTTGCAGCTATGTTCCACGTACAGATCAACCAATCAGACGAAAGTTCTGCTTCTGAAAAATCATGGGTAATTTTCAATATGGCAATTGCTGCAACTGGAAGATCCTGAACGATGGAAATAGAAGCCAATTTAGTTGAAGAAATAAGGAAAAAGCCGAATATATATTGCTGTTTAGTTGTAGTATAACTATAAGTCATTTTAATTTATTTCCTAAACAATATTGATTAATTGATTTTATGACGTGCTTGGTGACGACGTGCTATTTCTGATAATTTGTTTACTAATTATTTCTCGCCAAATTCGCCGTATTTCGTGTTGTTTGTGTGAAAAGTAATGCAATTGTTATATAACATAATTTTTTTAATTAAATTTAAGGTGAATAATTTTTAAAAAATTTGTTTGTATATGCGCGACTTTTACTTTTCTGTTAACTACATTTACTACTTTTAAATTGAAATTGCATAATTAGCGACATACTCATAATAGGTCCGTAAAAAAGGAAATCATAGCTTATGTAATAATGAGAATACACGTTAAATTATTTTAATGTTATTAAATACTTTTAGATTATAAATACAATAAGAACTATATTGTTATTATAAATGTGCATATTGAAACATTGGAAATTTATGGATTTATTATTATGAATGATGAAAAACATTTTTATATACATTCATTAATATAAATCTTTATTCATTACATTAATACTAATAAACGTACATCAACAACTTAACCATTATATTTCTTTATTTGTATGTAAATATATGACTTATTAAATGTGTGTGTACATATATATCTAAATATGTGACTTATTAGATGTGTGTATATGTAAGTATACGACTTATTAGACGTATATATAAATATATATGTAAATATATGACTTATTAGATGTGTATATATATATATATATATATGAATACAAAAATGAACATTGACAAAATGTTTATTCGAAGTGACTTCTAATTCATATAACGATCATGCAATTGGCAGCAACTGTAGTTATCAGTTTTTTGCACATTATCATAGATATGGAATACACAGTTGAAAAACAATTGAAGTGCATTTTGTGCATTAGGCTAGTCATAGAAATTCACCCATTACGCACAACTTTTGCATTTGTAATTTACTTGGGAATTTAAACAAAATAACCGAGCAAGTAGTCTTTACGAAATATTTAACTTTTTGGGGATAAAATAAATATTTTTCACTCATCACAAAATATACAAAATATATATCAGTAAATGACATTATATTGTGTACATAAATGTTATTAAATAAATATATGGGTACAAAAATATTGTTTACAATAATAAGATCAGAAATAATGACAAATCAGTGAATGCACGATGTAAAATTATTTATAAAAATATATACAACAGATCATTACAAGAACCGGAGTTAAAAAATATACAATTTAAAAGTAACAATTAGTGTAATAAGCACATATCATTTTGCCAAGGTATTCAGCCAACAGTATTATAATAATTACAAAATGTATTTTGTATATACACTAGATTTGGAAGCAAACGTCTCTTTCGCCAATATGAACGATAACTGTTTGACTTTTAAGTCTGTTTACCAAGTGATGGTAACCCGATTTCGTGGAACGGCGTTCTAAGAAATGTCTCTTTAGATATCGTTTTCCGGCTACAAATAGCATATGTGATAGGCATTTTAGAGGGAGGAAAGAAAACATCTAGATCTCGACCGTGTCGGGCGCTTGTGGTCGTTTAAATGATAGGCCATCTTGGGCGTTTTGGCCTTCAAAGGGTTAACCAACGTTCCTTCAAAAACGTTCTGATGTCTCATCTGAAATAATATATATAATATTTATTTCTCTTCTGAATCAAAATTAAATCTTACTCTAAAACTCTCTAATGAAATACAAAAGAGAATTTTTATGTAGTTTTATTTGTTTGTTATGTTAATATTTACCGTTATTTATTTAATTTTATGTTATGTAGTTCACTTCTGTTACTAATAACAATAATAGTTTTGCCGTTTTAATGTAAAGTGCACAACGGGTATATGGAAGAACAGGGGCATGTGAGTATCAAACTCATAATTAGGCAAACACAAACGTTAATCTGGAATTTGCCTAAAAGGACGTTCAATCAATTTCGAGAGATTTTTATTAATTTAATTCATGGTAGCCAAGTCCTTCATGTTTAGAGAACAAAACTATTCAGCACCAGAATACTCCGTCGAAACAATTAGAGTTTTAGAAACTACATTAATTTTTATTTTTTAAATAAAAAAGTAGCGTCATTTCCAGGTAACAAATTAAAACTTAAAATATTTTCTTGCTTTAAATGAAAAAGAATATAGTAACTTTAAAGAATCTGGTAGATTAAGTTGAATAAACTAGGCCAATTTCTAAAAAGACTCTGAAGAAAGTGCGTTTCCAAAAAAACTTCTTAAAAGTAACTGATTAATTTCTCCGCTAAACAAATAAAAAAAAATGTCTCAAGAAGCGCATGCAATTATCTTGTTTAGCTCTCGAACAGAAAAGAGTGTTAGAAGTACAGATGCTTATTCACAGGACGTTCTTTATTTGCTTAATGTTAGACACATAATCAATTTATTCTACTAAAACATTATCTCGATACTTTATTTGCAGGTTTTTTAAAACTGATAATGGAATTTCGTTACAACAATTTTTTAATCAATACCCACCTGACCGAGATAAGAGTCAAAATCTGAAAGATTAGCTCTTTTCGGTTAATTGCGAAATTTTATGATTGGATGCTCCCATGGCATTTATGATTTTTCAGAAACTAAATGCTAAATGTATTTTGAGGGAAATATTTACTTTATTTTAAAAGCCCCATTCCTCTGATAGAAACTTAGCTGCGTGCCGTCAGGTCATAATGTTTAATATTTCACAATTCATTGCTTATCAGTGTAAAATGCTAATTTTGTGCAAAGTAAGTAACATTGTTCTTGTTCTGTTACTCATTGCGTAACAGTCACTGGGCAAAAGCCAATGGATTATGAGCTTAGTTTTATTAAGAATCTTTGCTAAAAGATAATATTTTGTGAACATCTTTAATAGAGGATTTTTAAAAGACCTTTATATGGTTAGACAGATAGTCTCACGAGCTGAAGATAAAAATGCTTCATTCTGTACAGTGTTGCCACTGCTCACTTTAAATCGCGGAGTTTGTTAATCAAAAGTTCACTAAAATTTGAAGCTCCACAATTTCGGCTGAAGAATTACGTTTTTCAAAATTTGATGACTCTATGTACCGTCGTTTTTCAACAATTCGAGAAACATACAATACATACATGAAGATTCTTCATTATTTAATTTCTTTAAAAAATAATACAGGGCAATAATATTTGGTGGTAAATATTTGAAAGTGATGCGGAGAAACAAAGAATACAGACTCTCAGTTGTCCTAGATGACCGGTGAGCTCGGTGTGGGCACACCTAGGGTTCGCCGTTTGATTTTAGGCAAGATTTAAAGGTAAAAATTTAAAACTAATATAGAATAAGGCGATTAGCATACATCCAAAAAATAACAAAGAAATTTCTTTTCAAACAATTCCTTTTATACCCTAAAAAAATCGGGAAGATTTCTTTCAAAAATGAGGGTCTTGAAAAAAAAAATGCCTAAAATATAAGGAGTGGTTTGTGTTGAGCTGCCATCTACTATAAATAAAGAAAGTTCAGAGTAACCTATAAATCCTTTTTCATTAAATTTTTCTGTGCGTACAAAAGGAAATTTTTAGGTTTGTCCAGACAGGGCACAGTGCGTTAATCAAGACTGAGTGTAATTTTAAAGGTTTTAAAATACCTTCAATCTATTCTATGCAAATAAATTACTTAATTTACAATCATCATGACAGACTGTTTCTTCAAGAAAAAATTCCAAAGAAATAAAGAGGATATAAGAAATTTTTTAATTATTAAAGAAAATGGCATTTTGGTTAACGTTCTTTAGCTTATAACTGTTTTTTTTTTTTTTTTTTTTTTTTTTGCTTTTTATCAAAGCTTAAAATTTTTTATGATTCAATTGACTTGCAATTTTTGGTGTTATTTAACTGATGGTGTGATTTTTATATACTGGTGTTGACATAAAAATTGTTCTAAATGTTTCGCATAAATAGTTTAATTAGTTAAGTTTACTTCAACCATATTTGTAAAATTAAAAGATATTTATTATTAAAAAAATATTTATTATTAAAAAATATTTATTATTAATTATTTATTATTTATTTGTAAAATTAAAAAAATCTCACATGTTCAATGCATCTTTCAAATTTTAACAGTAAAATACTTAAAAATAATTCGAAAGAATAAACCAATATGTTACATAAAACTGTTGTCTTACTCTAATGGCAACAAGATTCTTAATAAAATATCCTCATGTTAAAAGTATCTATGAATTCGTATTCGGTTCTCTGTGGAAGCATTTTAGAGAAAAAACACCAAAAATGAAACGTTAATAGAAATAGCTTCCTTTTAACTAATTAATTAAATGTTGCATTCCAAGAAAAGTACGTAACTAATTATCTATTAAACACTATGATTAAGTTGATAAATGATTTTTATTCAAGTCACGTTAGATGTTTCTAGTTACATTCCTGCCGGATTGGTTTAAAAGTGTTTTGCAAATAAATGATGAAATGTTTTAATTAGCTATTCTTTTCATTAACAGAGTTTAGAAACAAATTCGTCCCTCATTTTACTCACGGTTGCTTCACATGTGGTGCGGTCGTTTAAAAAAAAACTATTTTCTTATACTCAGTTATTCTTCAATGCTAATTAAAATATAGCGTTCTAAATAAAATATTTTATGATATTATTTAACTTATTTAAGTGAATCTTTAAGTAATATAAAACAAAGTATATTCTATTTTTCATGCTTAGGGAACTCTCGATTATCTCGATTATTATTAGCTGTCGATTATCCTTGTTTTGCTGGAAAGCACATCACATATTACTGAAAAGCACAGATAATCCAAACTATCAATTTTCATGCATATTGTATGGTTTTAAAAATCAGGAACTTTACTTTGTTTGGGGAAATTTCTAAATCTTTGTCAAACTTCACAGCTTATTTTTGAAGCGTTTTTTTTTATAATTCTGTCGGCATCACTTTTGGACGACGAAGTGAAGTAGTCTTTCAGCAGACGTCTTTCCTGTCTGTCTTCCTTTATATTGTCGTATTTTAAGTTATTTTCTCCCTCCGTCTAGCACGCCTTCGTGGTGTAACGGTAGCACACTCGTCGCGTACTCCAGGGGTCCAGGTTCAAGTCTTGACAAGAGCATTGCTCATTTCTTCAGTTTTTCTAAATGTCTCGGCATTGGCGCCCGAACTAAAAAGGTGATGGGTGATGATTCTTCATCACTAGGATTTGGCGATTGGGTACCCTAATCCCCAGGAGCCCGAACTACCTAACCAAACAAGTTGGTTTTATGGTCATAACAGGCCACACCTAATGGGAGTATACAAAGTTTTTTCCCCTTCCTTCTAGCATGCCTTCGTTGTGTAACCGGTAGCACACTCGGCGTGTTTTCGAGAGGCCGAGGTTCGAGTCTCGACGTGGGCATTGGCCATTTTTCATCCTTCTAAAAAATTCCTAATGACTCTACAGTATTAATTTATATTCTAAACTAATTACGTCTAAATTCTGCAAAAATTTTAATGTCCATATTTATTATATAATCCTGATATTCTTCAAAACGAATTCTTCAAATTCGTTGGTTTTTAGTATGAAACTTGCGAAAAAGACTTTCATCCAGGTACACACATAGGGGCTTTTATGCAAGACGCAGTGCAGATATACGTTAATAACAAACTTTTCTAAATAATAAAGAATTTAGAAATATAAATAACAGCTCAAGTTTTTCATATCAAAGGTTACAAACTGAAAACGGGATATGGAATTCAAATACATAAAATTCGTTTTAAGACTGACAGACTTTAATAACTTCAAGTTACGTTTCTAACGGAAACGTAACTCGAAGTTATTAAATATAAAAATACCCAGACTACATTGAGCCCTGATAAATGTTCGAAACATCTCGATAAACCTTTCATTCAACATTTACGGCCAAGACTCCCTCCTGCTGAACATATATTCTGGAATCGCTGTTTCTTAAAGCCGTACTAATGAGAGAGATGTACGGTGCTGTTCTCTCATAAATAGGTAATCCCAGCTCTCGTTTCTTGCTCTATTAATTACACTATTACCCATCTTCTACTTACACTTCTTAAGTTCGCCTTTGTTAGTATGACTGCAATAGTTTTATGTGAATAGTGGCCAAAGCTATAAGGGCAAAGCAAAACATTTAATTAAATGAAAACTGAAAATACTGGGAGTTCGATACCAGATGAACGTACTGGTTGCATGGTTGTTTTCTTGCTTTTAAATATGTAACTTGAAAACGAGCTCTATTCCGTTAGAAAATACTCCACAAAGGCATCCCTTAATCTACATGGTGAAATGATCCTATGTTTTACACTCCTGCTATAAAAATAAGCAACAAAGGCAAAACATTGAATAAAAGAAAAACTATTTTGCCTACATTAATGAAATCCATCCAAGAAACTGCTCACTGCATCTAATAACTAAGTGAAATGAAGTTGAAGAGACATTAGAATTTTTTTGGAAGCAGAAGGTGTGAAAAATGAGCAACTCTTTCGCCGGAATCCAACCACGGACCTCTAAAATACTCGCCCAGCGTGCAGACTACCACACCACGTGGTCACCCTAAGAAGGCGGGAGAAATACTAAAGTAACTAAAATAAAGTAACTAAAATTTTTGCCTGGAGCATTGTTGCTTCCTAAAGGTGCTTACCTAATGAAAATGTTATTCCCGCCTTCGAAGTTGAGCAATGTAATAAAAGAAAAAGACAATTTGATACTTTTGAGTTGTCTGCAAGTTTACAAAATTAAAAGCATATAATTTTACAAACTAAAGTATAGCAAAGTAATTATTACCTATAATAAGAACGTATATATATATATACAAATTTTAAATATACTTTATTCGTGTCAGTAAGAACCACATATTGGAATTCAGGACGGTTCGAGTCGTGAATTCCAAAACTGCCACAAGTTAGCACTTGTATCAGTTTAAAAGTAGTGAACCAGGTTTCAAATGGATCAAAACGTGTGATAATTTTTCAGAAAGAAATTAAATAAAATACTTTCTTTTGCACATTGAGTAATTTTAATTTATCACATTTCATACCTATATATTATTTGCATAAAGAGCATCACAAGGCTTGCTAGCCGCGCTATGGCCAACTCTAAAATATATAAAAAATATGCGAATGTGAAACAACAAAATAAATGCTATTGGCAAAAAGCAATTAGAAACAATTTACGCACACTATATACATTTATGAGCAAAATTAAGAGAATTTCTAAATTACGTCTATTTTTACGGAATTTATAGGTACTAATTATACAGTCGAACATTTATGTAAATATTCAGAGTCCAATACGTAAGCGTACACGTGCGCGTCCAAGGAGCTGTGATTGTGTAGGAGATTACAAGTGCACGTAGTGTTTTCGACGATTTGTGTGCTCTTACTCCTTTACGACATTCACTGTGTTTCTTGCAAGAGTTGAGTAAATTTTATAAGGTATCAATTAAAATAAGTAGCCCTGAACATATGGATAACAGAAATAGACAGATACTTCTCGGGAATTGCAGGCAGTCTAATCACAAGCGCAGTTGGCTACAGAGCTCTATGTGACGACCAGTGTCATCTGCAATTTCTGAAAACAGTTTCAGGACACATCCATATAGAGAACACTCAGACGAAGTCAAAAAAAAAATCCACAGAGAGGAATAATGATCGTTACTTAGCACTTTCAACGCGGTGACACACGACTGCTACAGCTTCACAATTCTCAGGTGTGCCGCATGTTGCTACTGAAATCCCAATTCCACAGTTCCACAGTCGCCCGAAGACTTTATAAGATAAGGCTAAATGCCAGAAGGCCAGCTGTTTGCGTCTCATTCATTGTATCACACAAGAGATCGTATTTAGCTTAGTGGCCACAGAAAGCGCCTTGGACAAGACTTCAATGGAGCATATTGCCTTTTAGATATAAGTCGAGATTCAGCCTGAACACGGACTCTCGGTATACCTGCATCTGGAGAGAGCCTCAAATACGACAGCATCACTCCTTCATCAGAGAAAAGGTTCAATATGGTAATGGAAATGGTTTGGCAGGCATTAAGTTGGACGCCCGCACCCCCATGAATGTGTTTGAAAAATGGTTTCGACTGCTGTGAGGTATAGAGAGGAGATATGATAACGATATGTTCGGTTTTTCACGGGTGCAGTTGGACCTGGATTCCTGTAAATGAATAACAACGCTTGTTCCTACAGGGTCCACCTGGTCCACGATTACCTGGAAAGTGAGGATACATGGGTTAGCCAGCCAGATGTCTTAACTTCAACCCTACACAGCATGTCTAGAACGCTCTTGAGAGGGCCCTTATCTCGCCATCCTCCTCCGAGAACCATCCTGGATTGAAAACTGCCTTGCTGCATGAATGATTCTGACTACCAAGGGACTCTGAACTGCTTTCTGGCTAGTATACCGTCAAACTGAGCGACCTGTACGGGTGTAAAAAGACATATTAGATTAATTTTTATTCCGATATCACAGCTTCAGGTTTGGAAATTTTTGCAATATCAACTTTATTAAGAATGATACTTACACAAAATGAATATCGATTAGTACAGCTATTTCTCGGTTATAAATGTATATTCATACCAAATTTCATTAAAATCTGTCCGTTAGTTTTCCAGAAATTTGACATAATGGGCAAAATTTCTTAACTTTGCACACGAGTGTTTGTGCGTGTATATGTATTATATATACAGAGAAACAAATATTCGTATTAATTTTTAAATAAATATTAGTTTTTACATATCACGCGAATAAATGCACATTAAAGTTGTTAGGTCTCAAATAAGTTCGCTTCTTTCGTTACACATATTGTTATTAAATAAAGAATTAAATGAGTACAATCTGTGGAATTCTTTCACTTTGCAAAGTCATAATTATTAGTTTTATTTTTAAATACTTGAGAATTTAATATATGCCTCGAAACAATTAATCTGCTAATTTTATCTTTTTATTGAAATAGATGATTTTTAAAATTAGACTTAGAACGTTGAAGGGTTTATATTTATTTTAACTAACATTTATTTTAAGTTTAAACTATTTTTCCTGTCAAGGCTTACTTTCCCCTGGAATTGCCAATGCCAGAGTATGTAAATTTTAGTAGAACGCGCAAGGATTCGAATTTTCAGCGGAAGTAATCTGAGTTAAATAGAAGGGAAACGAGTTCGAAAGTGTGCTTTCTTGCTTCACGAGCGTGGAGGTGGCTAGTTAGAAATTGAAGAACCACGCGTTTTGGCCTGAGTGCTTGCCTCGACAGATTGTTAATCTTTCAACGTAATATTCAGAAGTTTGCTGAATTATCAGCGGTATTTTAGAACGCGGTGAGGTTAGTTACGTTTAGAGAGCCTCGTAGTTAGTCACTTGTTACTATTCTTTTCTTAGTTTCTTATTTTTATTTTACCGCCGGGTCGGCGTAGTTTGTGAGCGTCAAGAGCACGCATTTGTAATTTCTAAAGTTGAATAAAAAGGGATTTAAACCCTTCTCAAGACTTTCCAGTTCTGTCTACTTTCCAGTTCTTAGCAGTCACCACTATTGTTGCGTGCAGGTTGGAAGCACGCAACATTACAACGTTTTAAAAACAAATCCTAAACATTATCGAAACGGAAATTTTCTTGCAAACTTGACAATACACTACGTTTTTATCTGTATTTATTGAGCTGGAAATACGATTTATGTGTCTTTTTTAATTATTTGTTTTAGATGTTTAGATTAAACGTAAAGCAGATAGACGGAGATTTTTAAGATATAATGGCCAAACAAAAAGAGCGTTGAAGTTTCGTATCAAGGAACATGAATCATATGTCAAAAAAGGCGAAATTAACAAGTCTTCAATAGCGTATCATAGCTGGACTTTTAACCATAATTTGATTTTGGTCTGCAAAAATCATCCAAAAGGCTTCTTCCATAGGCGAATTGGATTTCTTGAGGCTTTTCACATTCACAAAGATTTAGAGAGTTTAGTTAATGATTTGAAGTCCAATCCAGTCCTTCCTAATGCCTTTAAAATTCTACTATCTTAATTCAATTATTTTTGCCGATAGATGGCGTTTACCTCCTCGCGCTTGGTACTACCAGAGGGTATAAAAATCCGTTCAGTGGTTGCTTTCCATTATTTGAAGTTCAGATTTTGAGCGTAATGTGCATTTGCCCCTCGTTCCCTATTTTAACTTCGCTAATATTTCTTTATGCTTGATCAGACAGCCTGGCTCAGTGTAAAGTAGGCGGCCAGTGAAACTCTGATTAAAAATCTAGTTATAACCACGTGCAGTGCTGATAAGCACTACGTGTTTCTGTGACTCCTTCTCCTATTTTCTTCTTTCTATGTATTTCTTTCTCCTGATGAGGAGGGACCTTTAGCTGCCCTCGAAATCGATTGAGTGTTTCATTATACCTACGCTAAATATAAGGTTGTTTTTTACGATTTTGATTGTCACATTAGCGTGTTTCTCTTCTAGTCTATGCTGCGTAATGTTTCCTACCGATTGGCAAGTGAAGAGATAGCATACCTGATGAGATACTGGTCAAGGAAACCCTCTATTGCAAAATAACTGTTTATAAATCCATTTTTCTCGATTGAACTTTTCATTTTAAAATGGTAGTTGTGAAAGATCATCATTGTAAATATATTGATGTTATAAGTAACTTCTTAAATACACTAAAACAAGAGAGATATTCTTATAAAATGTTTAAAGGTTAGCGCACAAATTAGACAACGTGCAAATGTTGATTTCCGGAGTGTGTACTGTTGTTTAACATTTTACTACGAATTTTTAAAAACCTTTTATCCCATTTTCTGTTCAAGAGAACAAAATATATCATAAATAAGGCAAATGTAGCATTTTGGGATTTTTTGTCAAACGGTTCTCAAGCCAAAGGCTGGGACACATATGTTCCAGCCGTGCTTAATAGTGGGATAGATATGTCACATACGTAGCGATCGACTTATTACAAGCACACCTATTATTCATGAAATAGATTTTACATCGTATAGTACAGGGTAAAGCATTCTTTCCATAAGTCACCATTACACATTGGGCAAGTCATATTTGTTCTTTTCTCTATGCTCATTGGTGTACAACGAGCACGGCGGCGTCTTGATTTTCCAACTATTGGAAGTTGATCGCCAACATTAGGAGATTCGAAAGTACGTTTTAACCCAGCAGTAATTTTTAAACTTTTAGTTGGACATTTACGTCTCATTAGTAGTCAAAAAGTTAAATTTAGCTTATGATTATAATCGTCATTCATTTATTGTGGCTCAGAGGCAGGCATCTTTAAATGAAGCCTGAAATGAGGAGGTCAACTGGTAGACTCCAGGGAAAAAACATTCTAACAGAAGTCGTCCAAGATCTAAATATCCCTCAAAACGTGTAAACGTGTTTCTTTCAGATGCACTTGACCAGGCTGCCTGCTAATTTATTCATTTCTTTGAGCATTTCCAGTTCGGAAATGCTCAAAGAAATGAATAAGTTTCCAGTTCGGAAATGCTCAAAGAAATGAATAAGTTAGCAGGCAGCCTGGTCAAGTGCATCTGAAAGAAACTACTGCATCTGAAAGCAACAACTGTCAAAGCAACCTCTAGATTACTGCAGGAGGTCAATCAGCCACTCTATTGCTGCAAGGAGATTTCATGAAACTGGAATATATGCGAGCACTACAATGCTTTGTGTCTCAAGGCCCGTTTAAAGAGAGGTATTAGCTTCAATGTTTAATACAGCCAACATAAATAGACAGTACACTGTTTACTGACAAGTAACTCGGAGTCTAGACGTGTTTTGATCTGGTGGAAGCAAGGAACGCACTACTTACTTGCCTTCGTTTATTCACAAAAGGTCCCGTTTCTATGGAAAATGTTTCATAGTTTGGAGTGGAATCTTCAAAAATGGCGATTCCAAGCTGCATATCTTTAATAAAGACCCTGTAACTGGTCTCAGATATGTGGACAATGTCTTCAATTTCAATCAGTGCAGTTTAGGAGTACTATGAGCCCAGATGTTTGCTAATGGCTGTAAATGCTCCTCCTCATCGAACATCTCTGCTGTCGGACTGCATGGAAACAAAAGACATCACTTGAAAGTTTAGACCAGCTTATTCATCTGACATGATGTCCACTGAGTATGTGTGAAACACCTTAGACTTCAGAAATGCAGTGTGCTAAATGCTTCCTCGGACCTTTCAGAATCTGAAAAGCACATTTTTAGGAAAAAAAAGGCGTGCAATTCGACAAGATCCGATTAATAATTTGGTAAATTCTCTGAAATTAAAATGCGAGGTGTGCATTTCTGTTAAAAGTGACAATACACTATATTAAAGGAAGACTTGGTAAAATATAGCCGAGGATCATTTTTCTGTTATTTGAAATTGCACATAAATTTGACTGTAAATTCAATCATAAAGAGCACTTTATTATCATAATAAATTATTTTGAATCATTTCTCAATTGACATTTAATATGAATACTTTCAATTTTTACAAGCCATATACATTAATGTGTCCACGCCCAAAATGAAAAATAAAACAAGATAACTTAATTTAAATACTTTTGTTCATACACGACTAAACAAAAAGCATTTGATTATAGATGTAAAAATTTGTAAGGAATGCCTGTACACGTTATTTTCTTTAGTTTCATGTCTTCTTACATATACTAGTTTAGCAATGATTGCATTGTTTATAGCTCGGCGATATAAAATATTATGTACACTACCAGGATTACCTTTCGTAATATTACTTAAAAGAAATTAAATTATCCCAGCTTTAAGTCGGTTTATATAAATAAACGATTCATAAATCAATTTTGTTAGTTAGATACTAACTAGTTAAATACCTAATTAGTGTGACGATAACAGAAATTTTATTCGAAGGTACAACTGCACTCATTCCACACTGCAGAACTGCAGCCTACTGTTGTTTAATAATACCCTCAAGTGGGCAGGGAGATTATTCTGTTTCATTAATTATTACTAAACATTTAATAAATATTTTACATTATTAATAAAAACAAGAAAATAGTAAAATAGCAGCGATTGAATTCGATACATTTGGAACATCCTATAACATTTTTATTTACTTTGAAAACGTTTTCTTTACCTCCGTATGTTTTAAGAGTTAATACTAAAATCGTTTTAAAAATTAGCACTTTTGCATTGTTACCCATGCAATAACCATTTTATTATGTACTTTCAAACCTTCAGCAGATTGAAAATATGTGGAAGCTGCCGGGGATCGCTAGCGTCAGTTTTTATGGAAATTCATAAACCGAAGAACGTACTCGCTAAAGATAATAAACCTTATTTACAATACCGTTAGTAAAATTGTAACCGAATTTTTATTACAGATAAAAATAGAACACAATATAGAGTAGTGATCTTTTGTTTTAATAGAAGAAAATATTTCCGAAATTCAAGGGGAAGGTAGATCGTGTGT